GCAAGCTGCCTGGTGCTCTACCTGTTAATGCAACTGCCATCTGTCCCATCTGAGTTTCCAAATTTTAATGGCTGCATTCTGGTCCTGAAGAGTAGCTTCTGTCTTCTTCATGAATTGGTTGTTCACCTCCATATATTGGTTGGTCTGTTCCATGAATTTGCCAAACATTTCTTCCAATTGAGGCTTCTTCTCTTGCTGTTGATATTGCCCATGTGGCCGTTCTGATTTTGGTTACTCCAATAAAAATTGGGGTGCTTTTTCCAGCTTGGGTTGAAGGTCTCTCCATACACGTTATTCTGCTGGCGTTGTCCCCATTGAGCAAAATCTGCTTGCTCTTTTCGTTGTGTCAAAATTGGGCATTCTGCTGTCACATGCTCAGCTCCACATTCCTCATAATTTGCCTTCTTTCTCTGCGCTGCGTTAGCTGACTGGGTAATGTTTTCCTCCTTATGAAATAAGGAATCAATTTTAGCGGATAATGCTGAATATACATCCACTTTATAAACTCCCGGTGTCTTCTTTGGTACTGCTCGTTCCATGGTCCACATTGCTGAGGTTGTAGCCATTGTCTCATATAACTTCAATGCTTCATCAATTGTTTTTGTGGACAATGACCCATTAGCTGAAGAGTCGACCATGCTCTTGAAAGCTGGAAGTAGCCCTTCATAGAAATATTCGACCTAAAGTCCCTTGCTAATCCCGTGGTGTGGACACTTCCTTAGTAGATTTTTGAATCTGTTCCAAGCCTCATCAAAATTTTCAGATTCACCTTGCCTGAAGATAGATATGTCGTGCTTTAGCTTTGCAATCTTGGCCGGTGGGAAGAACTTAGTACAGAACTTCTGAGCTAGGTCATTCCAGGTAGTAATGTCGACTATCGACTGAGAATCAAGCCATTCAATCGCCTTGTCCCGTAGAGTATGTGGAAACAGTCTTAATCTTATGGCGTCGTCAGAGATTCCTTGATATCTGAAGTGCTGGCACATCTCTAAGAAGCGCGAGACGTGCGTGTGTGGATTCTCTTCAATTCTTCCATAAAACTGATGTCCGTTCTTGGACAGTTGTATCACATTTGTCTTCAACTGGAAATTTGGTTGCCCGAACGTTGGATACACTATGCTGGACTGGCTTTGAATGATTTGAGGGGTCATGTACTCTCCAACGAGCATGTTTCCTTCGTCTTCTTCCGCTCTTTCATTGGCTTGTACAACAGGATTGTGTTGTACGTTCTCCATCTGATTTCTGGTTGCTCTGTTTTCTCTCTGCCTTCTTCTAAAGCTTCGTTCGATTTTTGGGTCGGCTGGGAGTAGATCTCTTTCAGCAGATCTTGGCATACACTTCTACAATAGAATTCAATTTAAAGACTTAAATAACTAAAATATGCACTTATGTAATAAAACTAACTAGCAATAAAATAAAATGAACTAAAATAAATTAAAAATAAAAAGTTCGAATTAGTACTAAATTGAATAAAATTAAACGAATACTCAATCCTCAGCAGCGACGCCAAAAACTTGTTCACGAAATAATTCTTTCGATTTAAAACTACCGCAAGTATACGGTTCGTAACAAGTAATAAAGTGGATTTTAATAAGTTCGAATATTGTCCCTCAGAGATTGAGTAGTTCAATTCTATATAATCTAGCATTAACCGAATCTAATTGAGTGAAAATATGGTCTAAATGCAGAAAGCCCTAATTTCAATTAAAAACCTTAATTTCACTAAAAATCCTAATTTCTATTGAAAACCCTAATTTCGAAATTTCTCTAATTTAAATTGCTCAAACACTCAAGTAAATGAAATTATGCAAAAGTTAATTTATAGAAATTAATCAGACTAAAGTCACTATGATCACGAATCCCCAATTGAAGTTATAAAAACCCTAATTTCATAAAATTAATGACCCGATGGAAATTTGCCAATTCAATGTTCCTAATTCTATCCAATATATTCTCTCGATATATATTAGACCTATTCTTGCACACCACCAGCCTATATCTCTATGGATGATACAAATATACAAGAATGCATGTGGTTTTGTGAACAGTTTAAGAATTGCATAAAGCATAGGGGTATATCTCTATCCCCTATCGGACTCTATGTTAATTTACACCTTATCGAATCTATTCCACTTCTCTCGAATGTAAGAAATAAGTCATCAACACTCACACAATCATTGGCCACTAATTGCGGAAGAAAATTAATGCATGTAAACCAATCAAATTATCCAAATAAGTCTTTATATTAAATTCATGAAATATGGAATTAAAATAACAAACAACGGTTCATCGATCACCTAGTAATTGAAAACTTAGTCTAGAATATTCATAATTACAAAAAAAAAAACGAAATTAATAAATAGAAAGAATAGCACCCGTATGAAAATTCCTTGAATTCTTGAATAAAACCTTGAAAACCCGCTTGAATTCTTGTGAAATCGACTTCAAGTTCATGATCCTTGCCTCCAAAAGTTGTATTTTTCTTCTCCCTGGATGTTCTGTCCTATTTCTGATGAATTTTGACTTTTATACCATGTACTCACGGAGTCCTGAAAGAGTTTCAATTAAAAATGGAAGTTTAGAATTTTGTTCGGATTTTAAAGCCATGCGGCCGCATGGTTCAAGTGGTCTGTCTCCAAAAGATCCCTGCCTCCTCATGTGCGGCCGCATGTATCTAACGCATGTATTTAGATACATGCGGCCGCAAGGTTGTAACTTTACAACCTTGCTATTTTAGTCCCTGAACTCCGTTTTTTCTTTTCTTGATCTCTTTTCTTTCTTTCATTTGTTCCATTATCAAATATTGACTCCTAATTGATGTTTGGGTCAATCAATTCCTTGATCACTTGCTCGACTCATCTTTTGATTAATTGCAATTTAGTCCGTCATCTTTCACTTTTCTTCAATTAAGTCCAATGTTACTTCTTTCTTCCTTCGATCGTCTTGTATCGCCATCAATCTCATACTTGGTATATTTTCATTCTAGTTCTGCACTTTAGCTCAACTTTCCAATATTTGCACCTTTGGTCCCTGAACTATCGCTTTGTTCCGTTTTGGTCCTTTTTCGGCTCTTTTCTTCAGAATTCCATCTTTTCCATAGAAACACCTACATTGCATGAATTTAACGAGATTAAGTCACAATTCAACTACTTTGTCCATATTTAAGTCATGTTTGTGAGCTAAATAAGTGTGTAAAAACACACTTATCAATATCTCGCATTCCCTTGTCACTAGTGGTAGACCTTCCTAGCTAGGGGTGGCAATGGGCAGAACAATAGGCACCTGAGCTTGGCTCGTCCTTATGGACCAGCCAAGCTTGACTAGTGTTCAAATTTTAGAGCGGCTCGGTCCTTTGGCTGGTGAGGCACACAAGTTGAATCGCCGCTGAGTTGACTCCTTTTTTTTTAATAAATTAACAAAATAAGCCTAAAAATGAGTAATTTTTTTAAGCAATTGATAAAAAAAAAAAATCCAAAAATGATGAATAAAAAAACAAGCTTAGGCTCGTGGGCTTGTACCTACAAGCCAGCTTATGAAAAAAAAATGAGAGCTCGCTCGATCCATTACTTGTCTCAAAACAAGTTCAAGCTGTTCATTGATCAAACCAGGATGAGTCACTCTGCCTTTGTAGGTCACTGACCTTAGGTGACCTGAGATTGTACACTGTTCGACCTTAAGTCAACTCGTTTACTTAAGTTATCTTCCCTCGTACATTGTCTTAACCAGTCTTGAATATCAATACGGATCCAGTAGTTTCACTTGAAATTCCATGATATAGTGTAATAGGTAGCATGTGGTACTGACTCACTATCAAAGAGGGTGTAGAGTGGGGCTTTTGATGTTTTCTTATCATACTTTTTCAACTTTATGGACGACACCAACTTTTATTAAAATGGGAAGGTCTCATTGCTTTCATGGTGGTCCTTGCCATCCCTAATAATATCATTTTCTTAATTTATATATTTATCTATTATTTGCCAGCTGTATTCACAGAAAAATTAATTTCCTTGTCATACTCGTACCATTTCACTCAATAAAAAATTTATTAGATTAAAGATAAACGAATCTTGTTAAGATGAGAATTATTCTCGTTGTAAAATAAATGAAAGGTCATGTTTAGTTTGTTTGCTACACAAGATGATGAAAGACATCAAGTTAGAGATTCCTGTCCTAGAGGTTATTTATTCATGTCCTTCCAAGATTTTCTATCAAGACAATAAGCTCTAAACCAGCTATCACAAATCATAATGTGTAGGATCGAATTTTAACTATCTTATTTGAAAATCAATTGGTATCCAATGAGAGCAAGCTAAATTTTTTATAGCATTCAACCGTCATCATTTGACTGACTCAATCCATGAACTTAAGAGTGGCGTTGTTGCACCCCAACAATCCCTCCTTCAACATGACGCTCTTGTGACCCAAACTCATGATCCTAACTCTGATACTACTTACAGAATTGGATATTTATCATCTCATCTGAAAATTAATTGGTGTCCAATGAAAGTAGAATAAACTTTTTATGACATTCGATTATCATCATCTTAGTAATCCAGCCGACGGACTTAAAGCGGCATTGCTGCACCCAAGCATATGCATATAACTAACTGGTATCCTGTCTTTGATTAATGAAACTAATGCATCGATCTTGATTAGTCAACAAACTCAGAGAAATTTAGTATAAGGTCCTTTTCACTTGCCAATAATTTGATTTAAAGTTTAAAAACTTTTCAATATGACTGGCTGGTAGGGGCATATCAACTACTAGGTATTTGTACTCTGCTTTATATGCTGCCACTGCCAAATCATCTCCTTTTGTTAGCTAACTCATAAAGATAGCATTTTTG